CGGTAACTAACCTCTCTGGTTCTCTGTCAGCGCTGCTCGGCAGAAACAAGCCCGGCTGCAGCTCCTCCTCCTCGGTGAACGGACAGCGGACTCCTCCGGAGCGTCCTACCGGGACACGGAGCCCTGAGGCCGGCAGACTGCCGGTGGGTCCGGCCGCTCTCGGGTTCTCTCTCCGCTCTCATCCTCCGCAGGTGAGCTCGAGGCGGAAAGGCGCCATGTTGAGAGGTCCGGTGACGTACTGAAGGTCACGTCAGCCTGACGTCAGCTGGATTAGTGGATGATTATAATAAAGAGACTAAAATATTGTTTTAATAAAGTAATGTTATTATAAAGTCATATAATAATTCACTCAAATAATAAATTATAGAATATAGATAATTATTATATTATGTTCATTTGATGGTTGGAAGTTTTACATTTGTGAAGATAAACCCTGTATTTCTTTTTACTTTTACTATATTATTATACTGTATATATTTATATATTTATAGATCAGGTATATCGAGGTTCAGCCTACTGGACAACTTGTATTTATTTACATTATTTAGGAGACTTGAAAGTTTTTCTGGATAAGAAATCACAAGTTATAATTAATGAAGTTACACAGATAATTAAATTACTTTAGTTGAGTTTGGTGTCAAATTTAACACAATAATTTATATTAATTTTAAAAAGAACATGTTAAAAAATGAATTTAAGATATTCCTTTATTGATCCCCTGAGGGAGAAATTGGATAAATGAATGATGTTTTATTAGACTCAGTTCAGTGTATAAAGACATGAATTGATGTATAAATTAAATAAGGTATTGATTTCTAATGTCCCCTTTAGATATTTGTATTCACTATTTTACTGATGTGCCACAATAATGTTTATTGTCATAATCAATTCTAAAAACTCTTTTATACTCATATTTTGTACATTGTTATTGTAATTAAACAATAAAGGTTGTTGGTTTATGGACTTTGTGTAAAAATGTAAAGTAACTTTTGTTCCTTTAAGGCTCAGCAGCAGCTGGATGGACAGATGTGATACAGATGTTTGTATTTTATTATGTAGCAAACAAATTTAAAAAATCATCAGTTAAATGATAAAAAGCAACAATGTGCGTATGTACACATTTACAGACAAGCAACAGAAATAACGTAACTTAAATTCAACCAATCACAATGCAGTATTTCAGTGGGCGGGGCTTATAGCAGGCATATCCCAGAGAGAATCGGCCAATCAGAGAGCTCCAGATTCTGTTGCCAGGCGACAGAAGTTATCTTAACCAATTTAAAATATGATGTCACAGCTTTAGATGGTGTCGTTTCCCCGGCAACGGACACTGAGGTTTATGGGTACTGTAGTGTTTAAACAGAGGCCCCGCCCACTTCAACACATATTAGCTCTGATTGGTTAAAACAGGTCCACTTCCTGTCTGACACCCACAATCCCTGTCAACAATTCAAGTATTCATATTAAACATCTTAACAAAATTAATCAATAATATTCAAGTTTTATATTCTCCAAACTCCATTTAACTGTAAATTAAATACGTCCCTCCAGAATATCTGATTCCACAGCAGCTTTCAAACACAAGACTGTTTAACTTCCTGGAGGATTTATTGTGGTCACTTCACGCGTAGCCGCACTTGTGCAGCTTCAGGTTGCGTTGGTCTGCGTATCTCTTCCCACACTTATCGCAGATGTATTGTTTGCCGCCGGCATGGACATGCCTCTTGTGCGTCCTCAGGTGACTGCCCTGGCTGAAGGTCTTGCCGCAGATGTCGCAGGTGTACGGTTTCTCTCCAGTGTGGATGCGCAGGTGCAGTTTCAGACTGTTGCCGTTGTTGAACTTCTTGTCGCAGTCGCTGCAGGCAAATGGGCGCTCCTTCGAGTGCGTGCGGCCGTGTGAGATCAGGCTGCTCTGCTGGCTGAACGTCTTCCCGCACTCCTGGCAGCTGAACGGACGCTCGCCGGTGTGAATCCTCCGGTGGATCTTCAGGTTCACCGCCTGGCGGAAGGTCTTCCCGCAGAGGTCGCAGCTGAACGGCCGCACGCCGCTGTGAATCCTCTGGTGATTCTTGAGGTTGTTGGCGTGGCGGAAGGTTTTGGGGCACTCCTCGCATTTGAAGGGTTTCTGTCCCGTGTGGATGAGCTCATGTGTTTTCAGCGTGACGGCGCGGGTGAAGCCTTTCCCACAGACGCCGCAGACGAAGAACTTCTTGCCGGTGTGGATGTGGGCGTGGCGGTGCAGGTTCTGCAGCAGGTTGAAGCGGCGTCCGCAGACCTCGCAGCCATACGGCTTCTCTCCGGTGTGGATGATAGAGTGCGTCTTGAGCTGCGTCTGCTTGGAGAAACACTTCCCGCACTGCGGACACTCGTAGGGCCGCTCGCCGGTGTGCGTCCTCATGTGACTCTGCAGACTCTGCCTCTGACGGAACGCCCGGCCACAGACGCTGCAGGAGAACGGCTTCTCGCCCGTGTGTACGCGGTAATGAGACTTCAGGTTGCTCTGAGACGTGAAGGATTTACCGCAGGTCGTGCACATGAAGTATTTCCACGTGACTCTCTGCAGGACAAACTCTGGATCACTGGAACCGTTCTGCTGCTGCTGCTGGAGGTCAGAGGTCACCGGCTGAGCAGCTTCAACTCGAGCTCCTGGAGGAAAAAACTATTATTAAACAAAAATTTGAAAACAAATATGAAAGATACTGATTGGATATTGATCAGGTATTCACTCTCAGCGATGGCTCCCAGGTCCACGTTGCCGTGTTCGTCTTTAACGGTGACCGCCAGGACAAATGGATTGTCACAAGCCTCTGGTTGCTCTGGTTTGGTCTGCGGTGACACAAAGTACAGACGTCACAGTCAGGTCAGTGAACGCATCACTGGTGAACAGGTGAGCAGGGTCTTACCTGAGTGGATCTGTGTGTGTCGCAGCTCTCAAGTCGGACTCCGTACGAGTGTTCAACTTCTGTGACGGACAAATCACACTTCACATTAGTATGACACCATCGTGTGGTTGCCTTCCTGATAGGTGTGTTTGATTGGTGGGGGCGGGGCCTGCGTACGTACCGACATGTGCGTTGTTGAGGATGTTGAGGACGCTGGTCTGCGGTCTCTTGCCGCCCCTCCCGGACTCCAGCTCCACCAGCAGTTTGGCTTCATCCACGATGTTCATAATCTTCCCCAAAGCCTCGTTCCCCAGAGTCTCCATGACGGAGGCAAACAGCACCTGAAAGACACAGGGCAGAGGTCAGAGGCAAACATCAGCCACACTTCTGACATCATTTTGGATGCAACGTCGTGAAGTTATTTTATGGTCAGATTTGCTTTGAAACTAGTCTCAGGTTTTACAGGTTTGTGTGTACTGACACCTGCCGGCGGGCAGCGACTCAACGCCTCAGAGCTCTTGTGAATTACATCACGAATCTAAATTAAAACACATTTTAACACCAATTGTCTTTCAGAGAAAGTTAATAAAGATTTTACTTTGGCAATTATACCAAGTTACTCTAGCTCAGTGCTATAGCTACAGTGCAGGGCTCAGTGGTGTAGATACAGGGCAGGGCTCAGTGCTATAGCTACAGGGCAGGGCTCAGCGCTGTAGATACAGTGCAGGGCTCAGTGGTGTAGATACAGGGCAGGGCTCAGTGGTGTAGATACAGGGCAGGGCTCAGTGCTATAGCTACAGGGCAGGGCTCAGTGCTGTAGATACAGTGCAGGGCTCAGTGCTGTAGATACAGTGCAGGGCTCAGTGCTGTAGATACAGGGCAGGGCTCAGTGCTGTAGATACAGGGCAGGGCTCAGTGCTGTAGATACAGGGCAGGGCTCAGTGCTGTAGCTACAGGGCAGGGCTCAGTGCTGTAGATACAGGGCAGGGCTCAGTGCTGTAGATACAGGGCAGGGCTCAGTGCTGTAGATACAGGGCAGGGCTCAGCGCTGTAGCTACAGGGCAGGGCTCAGCGCTGTAGATACAGGGCAGGGCTCAGCGCTGTAGATACAGGGCAGGGCTCAGCGCTGTAGATACAGGGCAGGGCTCAGCGCTGTAGATACAGGGCAGGGCTCAGCGCTATAGCTACAGGGCAGGGCTCAGCGCTGTAGATACAGGCAGTCAGCTCTAATACAGGGCAGGGCTCAGCGCTGTAGATACAGGGCAGGGCTCAGCGCTGTAGATACAGGGCAGGGCTCAGCGCTGTAGATACAGGGCAGGGCTCAGCGCTGTAGATACAGGGCAGGGCTCAGCGCTGTAGATACAGGGCAGGGCTCAGTGCTGTAGCTACAGGGCAGGGCTCAGCGCTGTAGATACAGGGCAGGGCTCAGTGCTGTAGATACAGTGCAGGGCTCAGTGCTGTAGCTACAGGGCAGGGCTCAGCGCTGTAGATACAGTGCTGTAGATACAGGGCAGGGCTCAGTGCTGTAGATACAGGGCAGGGCTCACTGCTGTAGCTACAGGGCAGGGCTCAGTGCTGTAGATACAGTGCAGGGCTCAGTGCTATAGATACAGGACAGGGCTCAGCGCTGTAGATACAGTGCAGGGCTCAGTGCTATAGATACAGGACAGGGCTCAGCGCTGTAGATACAGGACAGGGCTCAGCGCTGTAGATACAGGACAGGGCTCAGCGCTGTAGATACAGGACAGGGCTCAGCGCTGTAGATACAGGGCAGGGCTCAGCGCTGTAGATACAGGGCAGGGCTCAGCGCTGTAGATACAGGGCAGGGCTCAGCGCTGTAGATACAGGGCAGGGCTCAGCGCTGTAGATACAGGGCAGGGCTCAGTGCTGGAGCTACAGGGCAGGGCTCAGTGCTGTAGATACAGGGCAGGGCTCAGTGCTGTAGATACAGGGCAGGGCTCAGGGCTGTAGATACAGGGCAGGGCTCAGTGCTGTAGATACAGGGCAGGGCTCAGTGCTGTAGATACAGGACAGGGCTCAGTGCTGTAGCTACAGGGCAGGGCTCAGTGCTGTAGATACAGGGCAGGGCTCAGTGCTGTAGATACAGGGCAGGGCTCAGTGCTGTAGATACAGGGCAGGGCTCAGTGCTGTAGATACAGGGCAGGGCTCAGTGCTGTAGATACAGTGCAGGGCTCACTGCTGTAGATACAGGGCAGGGCTCAGTGCTGTAGATACAGTGCAGGGCTCAGTGCTGTAGATACAGGACAGGGCTCAGTGCTGTAGATACAGTGCTGTAGATACAGTGCAGGGCTCAGTGCTGTAGATACAGTGCTGTAGATACAGTGCTGTAGATACAGGGCAGGGCTCAGTGCTATAGCTACAGGGCAGGGCTCAGTGCTGTAGATACAGTGCAGGGCTCAGTGCTGTAGATACAGGGCAGGGCTCAGTGCTGTAGATACAGGGCAGGGCTCAGTGCTGTAGATACAGGGCAGGGCTCAGTGCTGTAGATACAGTGCAGGGCTCACTGCTGTAGATACAGGGCAGGGCTCAGTGCTGTAGATACAGTGCAGGGCTCAGTGCTATAGATACAGGACAGGGCTCAGTGCTGTAGATACAGTGCTGTAGATACAGTGCAGGGCTCAGTGCTGTAGATACAGTGCTGTAGATACAGTGCTGTAGATACAGGGCAGGGCTCACTGCTGTAGATACAGTGCTGTAGATACAGTGCAGGGCTCAGTGCTGTAGATACAGTGCTGTAGATACAGGGCAGGGCTCACTGCTGTAGATACAGGGCAGGGCTCAGTGCTATAGCTACAGGGCAGGGCTCAGCGCTGTAGATACAGGGCAGGGCTCACTGCTGTAGATACAGGGCAGGGCTCAGTGCTGTAGATACAGTGCAGGGCTCAGTGCTATAGATACAGGACAGGGCTCAGTGCTGTAGATACAGTGCTGTAGATACAGTGCAGGGCTCAGTGCTGTAGATACAGTGCTGTAAATACAGTGCTGTAGATACAGGGCAGGGCTCACTGCTGTAGATACAGTGCTGTAGATACAGTGCAGGGCTCAGTGCTGTAGATACAGTGCTGTAAATACAGTGCTGTAGATACAGGGCAGGGCTCACTGCTGTAGATACAGTGCTGTAGATACAGTGCAGGGCTCAGTGCTGTAGATACAGTGCTGTAGATACAGGGCAGGGCTCACTGCTGTAGATACAGGGCAGGGCTCAGTGCTATAGCTACAGGGCAGGGCTCAGCGCTGTAGATACAGGGCAGGGCTCAGTGCTGTAGATACAGGGCAGGGCTCAGCGCTCCTCCTCACCATCCTCTCCCGGCCGGCGGCCCGCACTGTGGCCGGCGGAGGCGCCTCCTCTCCGGTCAGAACCTCCAGGCTGTCCTCCAGCAGCTTCTTCAGCTCCGCCACCGCAGCGTGGACCAGAGACTCCATGACGGTGGCCAGCTGAGTGTGCAGAGCCACGGAGGAGCTCATCCTTCCCGCCAACAGCCGCAGAGCGTCCCGCTGCCTGCAGCTAACTGCTAATGCTAACACACACACACTGCGTGAGGCCGGAAGGGCTCGTTGTTCCTCTTCCGGGTTCAACCGGAACAATCAGTATTTTAACTTGTATTTAGTGACTTGTTGTTTCTTGTCATTATTTACAATAAGAACAAATATACACACAAATATATTATTTACAATAAGAACAAATATACACACAAATATTTATAATATATATATATAGTTTTTGTCAGAACGATGTCGCGATAATATGACGTAGTCAAAGCGCCAGGTTCCGGAGAGAGAGACAGCAGCAGAGAAGAAGAAGAAGCAGAAGAAGAAGAAGAAGCAGAAGAAGAAGAAGAAGCAGCTCAGGTGAGAACCAGCTGTTCGGCAGGTGTGAGATGAACACAGCGGACAGGTCAGCGCAGAGAGGCGGGAACGTCCCCGCGAGAGAAACTCCATTAACAAATCAATCGATTTAATATTGACTCGATTATAAACGAAAATATAAACCTTAATACACCTACCTTAGTGACGTAGACTCATCACCGGGACCGGACAGGTAATTCGGCTCCGAAACAATGTGTGTGTGTGTGTGTGTGTGAGTGTGTGTGTGTGTGTGTGTGAGTGAGTGTGTGTGTGTGAGAGTGTGTGTGAGTGTGTGTGTGTGTGTGTGTGTGTGTGTGTGTGTGAGTGAGTGAGTGTGAGTGAGTGAGTGTGTGTGTGTGAGAGTGTGTGTGAGAGTGTGTGTGTGTGTGTGTGAGTGTGTGAGAGTGTGTGTGTGAGTGAGTGAGTGAGTGTGAGTGAGTGAGTGTGTGTGTGTGTGTGTGAGTGTGCGTGTGTGTGTGAGTGTGTGTGTGTGTGTGTGTGTGAGTGTGTGTGTGTGTGTGTGTGTGTGTGAGAGTGTGTGTGTGTGTGTGTGTGTGAGTGTGTGTGTGTGTGTGTGTGTGTGTGTGTGTGTGTGTGTGTGTGTGTGTGTGTGTGTGTGTGTGTGTGTGTGTGTGTGTGTGTGTGTGTGTGTGTGTGTGTGTGTGTGTGTGTGTGTGTGTGTGTGTGTGTGTGTGTGTGAGTGAGTGAGTGTGAGTGAGTGAGTGTGTGTGTGTGAGAGTGTGTGTGAGAG